GGTGTGTGTTGGTGTTATTAGTGTGTGTTGGTGTTATTGGTGTGTGTGTTGGTGTGTGTGTTGGTGTTATTGGTGTGTGTTGGTGTGTGTTGCAGTGACGTCATTGCTCACAGTGGTGTGTGTTGCAGTGGGGGAGGGGATGTTGCAGTGTTGGTGTGTTCAGACTGAAGCACCAGAGCTTCTCTCACCATCATTCCCATCAAACGGTTGTTTTATGTCTTTTCAACAACAGAATTCACCGTCTGGTCAGCTGAGACGATAAAATCTGTTCCGAGAGAAAGAGACAAACAGAAACATAAATCAATCACAAAGTTAATCTGAAACTTTATTCAGTCACAAAATGTGGAAAATCTTCTTCTGGAGGAAAATAATATCTGATCAGAATAAATAAATCAGCTGCTGGAGCGTTAACGTTAACCCCTCAACCAACTCACATGTTATTGAAAACTGAATGAAGTAGGATGAACTGGTGGATTACTTTTCATTTTCTCTGAGGAATATAAAGTTTAAACTATAAAGTATAAAGTGTGAAAGTATTTTTGTAGTAAAGCGTTGGTTCCAGCAGCCAGTGAGTGACGTGTGGAAGCAGATAAAGAACCTGAAACGGTCACGATTGATCCAGAGGTCTGCAGCTCGTTGGGATGTTTGCTCACGATGTAAAGGTTGAATTATGAGGCCGGTAAAAAACAACTCTTGTCAAAGACACTAAAGCAGAAGAAGCCGGGCGGAGATAAAGGGCCGGCTGTGCTGGTCTGGACCGCACTGAGACCGGGACTCACTGGAGGTGGTTCCTGTCGGGTTCATGTGTCCAGCGCAGTAAAGTGCTGCCACCTTTCTTTACTCTGGACGGGGCAGTTAGTGACAGGAAGACTGAAGCTTTATGAAGCCACTTCACAGCCCGACTCTGTGGAGCTCTAGTGCAGTGATTCTCAACTGGTGGGTCGCAGACCCGTTGTCAGTGGGTCGCGGGCCTTTGCCTGACAAAAAAAAAAAAAAAAAAAGTGATTTTATTTTGAAGGGCATTTTTTATGCAGCGGAGTTATTCCAGCATTTACGGCACTTGTGTTTCCTGCGATGCAGGAAACACACCGACCAATGCGTTGTGAATCACATCACGTGATGCAGCTCAGCCAATCAAAGATGAGTATTCTGACAAGTTTCCTGACTTGAGTGAGATGTACACACACCATGACACACGGGGGAGAGACGAGGAGAGAGACAGCAGAGCAGGACTGTTGAGGTGTGAAAGTCAAATCATAGGACGATCTCCAAAAGAGAAGAATGTCCAGAGAGACCAGAGTCATTAGACTCTGACTGGACAGACTCATAGAGGTGAATTCTTCCAACACTCATTTATCTTTTTAGAAGATGAGTAAATATAATATTATGTCTTCATCACTTCACCCTGAATGAACTGAATTTAAAGCTGCAGGACAATTCAGTGAAAATAATTTTGCTAAAATGAATTTAGTTATGTAATTAATTTTTTAATCCAGCTGTTATTTTACTTGAAATGAGAAGAACATTTATTCATGTATTTCTATGTATTATTTATAATCCATCCAGTTACATTTGAAAAATGAGAATAATAATTGTTAAAATATAATTGATGTGTACTTTCTTTATTTGATTTGGCAGTTTACTACACAGAGACGTTACTACTACTAGACTTCTTGAATATAGATATACCCAAATTATATATATATATATATATATATATATATATATATATATATAATTTGGGTCGTGGGTCGTGGCTTGTCATTAAGGGGTGATGGTGGGTCCCGCAGCCAGACCAGTTGAGAACCACTGACCTAGTGGGTCCCATCAGCTGACTGGTGTCTCTGGGTCGGCTCAGCTCTGTTCAACCTTCATTGATTAACGTTGTTCGAGTTTGAATCCATCTATCTAATTACTAATTCCATAATTTGGTCACACTGGAGGTTTATTTATAACTGAAGCAGGAAACACTGAAACAGAAACATAAGAAGCAGATCTTTCCTCTGACTGAAGGTGTAGAAGAACCGGATCAGAAGGAACCCTTCAGGACGACACCAGAAGATGTTTCCTCCTCAGAGCTGGGATAAGATTCCTTCTCCTTCGACCTCGAGACCTTTCTCTCTGCTGGTTTGTTGGTAACTTTCTGTGTTGAACTGTCATATCTCTGTGGAGAGGAAGTGAGATAAGACTTCCTGTCTCTTTGTAAACCTTTCATCCTTCACTTCCATATCAGGGTCTCATGGAAGGACCCACATGGGACTTCAGGTCACGCTCAGATAGATCTGAAGTCTCCGCTGAGAGCCCTGAAGGCACCAGCCGGCCTCTGAGGAGAAAATAGCAGTTAAATTAGAAGTTAAACTTTTTGGATAAAGTTGATGTCAACAGCCTCTATTGTTCATAGTAGAAGATCCAAGTTGCTGCAACTGTCAGGTTGAACTCACTGAAGGAGAAATGTTGTTATTGCACATTTCTACCAACCAGGGACATGTTGTCAGAACAAGTGACGAAGTACACTGAACATTACGTGGTGCAATATTTAAATTTATTTACAGCGGTGATGCTACGTCGTGACGCTATGACTGTTGCTCTCAAACCTCTTCTGGTGTCACACTGCGTGTGAACTCTTTTGTACATCATTGTTGTTTACTGTCTATATTTATGTTTCTTGCAGTACTTTTTGTTATTTTGTCAAACTTTATTTATTGATCTGCACCAAAACAGCAAAGCAGTTGTGATTAACCTGATTGTGATTAAAAATGTCTGAAAGCTCTTAAAGCATCCAGATCGTCTCGTCTCTCTGGAGGTAAAACATTGTGTCACAGCGATCACGTTCACTTATCATCAAAAGACTCGAACCACCATCAACATTTTCCATAGATCCCAGTTCGCTGCCTGCAGACGGACAGACGGACATCCACATGTTTTGAATCTCTCTCCTTTGATTTCCCCGGCCGGTGATACGGCCCAGTGTGTGTTCCTAAATGTAGGTTTAATCTTCACAGCCAATCAGACGGCCTCCCAGCACGAAGCACAAACAGTTCATGACCCGACCAGATAAAAACAAAAAGTCTGTTTGTTGTTTGTGAAACTCTTTGATGGTCCAGACGAACCGGAGCAATTTAGACGCTTCATTTGGTGAGAAGGCTTCAAGGTGGCAGAGACAGGTCAACGCACGCACACACACACACACACACACACACACACACACACACACACACACACACATACATACATACATACAGGCATTTATCCAGTTGTGGAAAGTATCCAAGTACATTTACTCAAGTACTTTCTACGGTAACGACGTGACGGAGACAACCTCCGGTGAAGTCAGTGCTTCATGTGTTGAAGCTGCATTCTCTCTAGTGTCCACCAGGGGGCAACTCCTCTGGTTGTATAGAAGTCTATGAGAAAATGACTACTTCTCTC